GGTAAATGACTGCAAACTCTTAGAGCTCTCCCTCCCTCACCCCAGCTCTTTTGAGTTAATGATTGTGTGCTTTCTTTCTTACCTGGGTTTGAGACCTGGATCTGTGAGACCTTGTGCCTCGTTCTCTCCATCTTTAGCATGGGGATAGTACCTGCCTCATAGGATTGCTGTGAGGATTAAATGATGAGTCAACTGACAGGGTTGGGTACCATGCCTGTTTTGTAGCTCAGGCCCAGAACATGTTGTGACCATTTTCTGTCTCCCTCGCTGGCTTCTAGCCTTCTGGAGGGGAGAGGTCTCCCACACCTATTAGCCAACCCCCATGCATTTAGCACAGACTCTTTCTCTGGCGTGGGGCTTCATCAACATGTGCTGAATTGAATTTGCGAATCGGTGGGGGTTTGTGCCAGACAATGAGGCATTTACAATTCATGCTCCAATTACCTGTGCATCCTCTGAAGGGAAATGACCGTTGCTGAAGTCATTCAATAGCTTGTTTGCTTTTTTTTTTTTTAATACAGGTGATTATCGATCTGCTTCTGTGAAGCAGGAAGTCTTTTTACCTTCAAGCCAAGTCCCCTTATTTCTGAGGTCAAGATTTTCCTTGGGAGGTGGAAGGGAGGAGAGGGGAGGAAATTGACACCTCTCTTTAAGGTTCAAGACTGCCTGGCACAGCTAGAGGTATTTAGGACACAAAGCCAGCCCTCTGTTTCCCCTCCACTGAGCAGGGACTAGAGTCAGAAGCTTTGGATTTCGGGTCTAACACGTCTGACACAAAGGGCCTGTCAGGAAGGAGGTGCTAGACCTGAAAGAAGCCTCTAACCACACCACGCCACAGGAGGCCTGGGAGGGCGGTGCCTCAAATTACTTTATTCCCCTGCTCTTGCGATTGCTTACCTTTCAAGCCTGCCTTGCTGGTTGAGGCTGAGGGTGCAGGAAGAGTCCCCAAAAAAGTATTAAAAGGGCAGAAGAGATCTTTGATTTGAAGTTAACATGGCCCCTGGGACTTTTGTGGTTCAGATTACTATAAAAGTTCATGATGTAATGATAAGCACTCACAGGTGGGGAGTAGTTTTTGTAGTGTGTGTGTGGTTTCTGAAGGACCACAGCTGCTATGTGTCATACGGAGTATGGCCTGGCAATGTGGGGCATAAAGGCGCAGCATCATAGGACAAGAGGGATTGTGCCTGGTGCCCTGGCAGAGTAGTGAACTCATCACCTGCCTGTGCTTCAACCGATCCTACATTCTGGGAAAGGAGCCCTAGTGGTACCAGCAGTTTGAACCTATCAGCCACTGGGTGGGTGGGGGTGGGGATGGGGACCAGAACGAGGCTTTCTGCTCCTGTAAAGATTGACAGCCTTGGAATCCTTAGGGAGCAGTTCTACTTTGCCCTTCAGGGTGGTTATGAATCAGAAATGCTTCACTGTCCATGGGAGGATATACCTTGGTCACGGGCAGTGCAATTGGCTAATGTTAACCGAAATGTTGGGACATTCAAGTCCACCCAGAAGTGCCTTGGAAAAAAGGCTTGGTGATCTACTTCTGAAAACTCGGCATTGAAAACCCTACATAGTACAGTTCTACTCTGACATGCATGGGTCGGGGCAGGGTGGGCAGCAACTGGTTTTACCCCGCAGGGACTCCTCCAAGTGACTTACATTGTAACGTGTTCTCTGGCTCTGTTACCAGATCCAATCTATTTTCCCTCTGGAAGCTCTCTGGAATCATTTGCCTCTATCTGCACTGGCATACCCCAAGTTCACGATCTTTCCTGTGTTCTGGGAGTATATTTTCCTCATATGTGACTCTGTCCTAAGTCTTTGATCTTTCATTCTCTCCTAATTAGGAGGGATTTTTTTTAACTAGCTTAAAATTCACCAGCGGTTCCTCATACCTGTCTGACTCACGTATAAAAGCCTCTTTGAGCCCTAGTAGGGCTTTTCTGGTGTGTGTCTCGTCATGTTGCCTCCACACCTGTGAATCTTCCCAGAACAAGCAGCAGTTGCTCTCAAGCCTTCTCTATTTGCTCCCCCCTCTACCCAGAGTCCCTCTCTTCTCCCCTAGTCTTTCTTTTCGCCATCTCCTCCTCTTCCTCGGGCTAAATAAGGTTTCCCCCACCTGGGCTCCCATACTTCTTCTATTGTAGCATTTATCACAAACTGCACTTGTCATTAGGAGTCCTGATGGTGCGGTGGTTAACCTGTTCGGCTGTTAAGCTTTGGAAACCATTCAGGGTAGTTTACCTCTGCCCTAGTCAGTCTATGAGTTGGGATCCACTCAATGGCAAGGGGAACATTGAATCTCTAACTAGGCAGAAAGTTTAATTGCTTCCCAGCTTCCTTCTAGGTCTCGCATATGGTAGTTGCTGAACAAACATTTGCTAAATATATCAATGAACTGTTTGCTGGTCCTATTTGGCTTCCATCACAGTTTGGGGAAGGGGCCTGGACCTGGGGGGGTTCTGACAGAAGAAAATATAACAGCCATTGGAATGGTGTTTGATGGAGAGAAATTCATTCGTGATAACTGGATTGTGAGGTTTGGGGTATTCATGGAACCAAGTAACTAAAACTAACTTTAAAGATCAGTGTAAGTCCCCGCCCCCTCGAGTTGATCAAACTCTGCTTGCCAGTTTTGACAGCACATTGAGCGCAGTGATCAGACTCACCAAGTCCGAGATGTCACGTCTGCTGTTTAAAAAGAAAGAAAGAAAAGAAACTGGTCATCCATGGCCACAGTTAAACATGTAACAAACTCAAAAGAGGTGTGAGAGGCGATCAGGTGAACTCTGAAACCTGAGAACGAGTTGCAGTGAGAACAACTCTGGGGTGACATTCAAGAACTAGTAACACAAAGGGGGATTTGCAGATTTCCGTTCAACATAAAGGAGAAAGGGCACAGGCGTGTGAGGTCGTGAGCCCTCCACCACTCCAAGGGTCTCACAGCCTCTTCAACCACGTGCCGGGCTGTGGACTCAGAGGAAGGGCGAGTTCCAGGGAAGGGTGAAAAGGCGATCGAACGAAAAGCCCTCTCTCTGGCTTCTGGAATTCAGATTCTTCGGAACCTCGATTTTTGTCAACCTTAGGATTCTTTGGAAGTTTCTGGTTCTTCCCGTTCTACACGCGTAAAAGCGCAGCAGGGGACTGCCGCAACAAAGAAGGGAACAGAGGTCATAGGAGCAGGGGGAGGAAAGGAGGTGACGACTTAGGAGAGACGCCATCCAGAGCCTGACGGAGTAGGCGAGAAGCGGAGCACACACAGCAGAGGAAACCGGACGTGGGGGCAAGAGCGAGCCTCAGCTCCGCGGGAGGAGAG